CCCCAATGTTATTAATCTAGAGATGTAGAGGTTTTTTGTAGGTTCATTACATTGATTTAATTTAAATATCTATTTAAATCCCAGGTTACAAGGCAGCAAAATACTATATATGCCACAGTTCTTTGTCAAACTATGTCCTCATAGTATCCAGTTTTTGAGATAAACTCCAAAACTCAAGAGAATGTAAATTTGATGCTAAAACCCAGATTTGTTTTGAACGTGTGTGAAAAACYTCTCTTCTGTCTTGTCAGGGATCATGTTGGACTTGGACTCTTCCAGTTGTCTCCTCAGAGTTTCTGCTGATAACCAAACAGCAGAAAGAGTGAAATCACCGCTGGATTATCCCAACAGTGACAGTCGCTTCGATGAAGCCCCCCAGGTCCTCTCCACCCCGTGCTTTTCCTCTGGCGCTCACGTCTGGGAGGTGGAGGCTGAGGGCTGCTGGGACATCGCCGTGTCCTACAAGAGCATCCCACGAAAAAGCAAAGGCAGCAGCGCCTTTGGACACAACGCCGAGTCCTGGAGCCTCACGCACAGCGGAGAGGGCTGGCTGTTTGTGTGTCACAACAAACAAAAGACCACTCTGTCAGGGATGCTGCAGAGCAGACGAATATCTGTGGAGGTTAACGTGGAAGAGGGCCGCATCACGTTCAGCTCAATGGATCCAGTAAAAACTCTTCTGCACCAGTTCAGGGCGGAGCTGACTGAGCCAGTGTGTTTGGGTTTAGGTCTTCATCACCTGGATCCTCCCAGCAGAGCCTCTATTGTTACAGCTTCATGATAATCCTGCAGTTTTCAACTCACAACTCAGGAATAACATTTCTGTAGAAACATTTATTGTATGTAGAGCACCTAATTAACTTTGATTGGTTGGAGAGCTTCGTTTCAGATCAAGTATTTTTACWGTATAAATATTTAAGACCTTGTAATAAAAGTTATGTTAAAACATTAAAATTTCATATACGTTTGATCAGTTCTCATTAAAGCAGCTCTGTTTTTATTACAAACACTTTAAAAAGCAGAAAAATAACTTGTTTTATGAGTTACATTACAGGCTAGTTAATTCAAGACACTTTCAGAGTAACTGCTAACCTAATTTATTAAATGTTAAAAACCACAAACGATCCAAACATTAGAACCATAAAAAATATAAAACAAGCAGAATTGAATCTTATTTTTAGTAATTATTTTGGTGAACGTTTGCTATTTTTACACTAACAGTCCAAGGATGAATCTTGTTTTTAATAAGACAACAGCACAAGTATTAATTTCATGCAGTGAATTCAGTTGTCCAAAAAATAATGGAAATTCAAACAGGAATTTAAATAAATCTATATATTTTTAAAGTTTTAAACTTACACTAAAATACATGTTTCTGGCTTTCGATGTGAGAAAGTACTGTATATCGGATCCACTGGACTCAATTAATGTTTGAGGAAAAAAAGAAAAGCATTAACCCGAGAAAAACTAGAGAAATTTATTAACCTAAKGCCACACTAGAAAACACAGGAGCAACTCTGGAAAACACCCAAAACATCCTGAGGTACAAATGATCAAACTAAGGCTCGAGGGCCAGAGGTGAAACATCTGAATCCAACCCTCAACATGTTCAAATGAAAACTACAATCATCATAATATTGACTCTGAAGGCGAGTGAAATCTAACATCTTACCATCATTTTTATCTGCTTTCAAGAAATCGCTGTCAATGTTTTAAACTAATCATTCCTGGCAGTTTAGTAAGGTCTGTGGGTGTGAGCTGAGAGAACCAGATGGGAAGTAAACACTTCAAATTAGGGAAAAAATAATAATACTCCAAATGTCTTTTTTTAAACCAAGAGCTGATATCTTCATTTATAATAATTACATCTCTAACTGTGCATTTTTGGTGCGTATTTTTAAAGAAACCAACAGTGTAAAAATCTGAATATTCAAGACAAAAATGTGGAAACAAGAAAACTCATCAGTTTTCATAACAACAACAGGAGAAAAAAAAAAAAAGATCAATAAGTTTGTTTTTATTAAGAAAACATGAGAGTTAAACTTTCTTTAACACTTGACCGGTCTGAAAAAGGGATTTACAAAAAGATTATAATAAAAGGCATTTTTCAAATTTCAGAAATTAAATCTTAAAATCACAAACTAAATTCAACAATGAACATTAAAAAAATGTTTTTCTGTCTTCTTCTGTTATTTACTATTTATTTATGTTTTTTGTTTGTTTGTTGAGAAACTTATTTAGCTGCCTGTTTACTGACTAAAAGTTGCTAACATACTTAAACGCAACATTTGGTAACAAACCGAACTGAAGACGATATGAAAAGGTCAACAGCACCAGAATGAAAACAACGGTCCCTAATTGCAGACATTTTTTAAATAACTGAGTATCTTTTCTGGAAAAAGGCTGTTAAATCTGTAATTCAAGTACAAAACAGTAAAACACCACTGAAAAGTCGTGACACAGGTTCGTCGTTCTTCAACTGATAAAATGGGGTAAAACTGAAATGGTGGAATTTTCTTTACTTCACTGTTCCCAGACTCTGGTTCCTGACGGTGCACCACGCCTTAAACACGTCTCTGTGAAGCAGGACAACATCAGAACMGTCTAAAACTGGGAAAAAAACAAACATTTAATTGTCAGGCATCTACTTACTTGCAGTGATTGGCCACACATTCGTTACTGCAGTACTCTTTGTCCCAGTCTTCACTGTCCACTGCAGGGTTGTTGCAGCCGGCTCTCACACACATGAGCCTCGCCGTGGCAGCTTCACCTGGCGTGTTCACCTCCATCATGTCCTGAACAAAAGCAAAGATAATCATCTAAAGTCGTGTAGGAATTACTGTGATCTGACGCGTGACTCATCGCATCAAACTGAGGATCAAGTCAAATTTGGTTAAAATGACCTCAGCACATTTTCACATTCCTGMCTTTTTTTTACATTTTGATACCTGGATTATCCTGATATCATGAGAGTTTCTGAATAAATGAGGTGATTTGTCTTCCTAATCAGAATAACCCATTATTATTTGGTTCTAATACTATTTTTWGGTGATTCTAATGAACTGCGATGTCATCCTAAAGAGGAAACCTCAAACAATATTTAGATATTACAATTTACCAGTTGGAAAGTAAAAAAGCTTTGCTAGCAGGGAAAAGAAGCTTCAAAAAAGATGTTTATAACAACCCATAGATAAGATGTCATATTTTAACTAAATGTAATTGTTGCAAATGTTTTAACTAATGCCCTATAGCTGCCTATTTCTCCACATACCACTTTGTGACTTAATTCAATGTGATGGGTCACAAACATTTCCAGGATGGGAGWACTGGGCTGTGTCTCAATTCAGGGGCTGGGTCCTCATGAGTGCACATTTGTCGGCTGCATACGTCACTGCCCCGTGCCGAGTACTGCCCAAATTCAAAGGCTCCTCCTCATGCGGCCGACAAACTCTCGAAATCCGAGGATGCATCCATGTATCCTCACCAGCTGAGGATATCCCAGGATTCAATGCGCGGGCAGCAAAATAAACAGAGAAACAAAGACTGTGGAGTTTTTATTTTTTTAAAGTGTCGGCGTAGTTTGGAAATTCACCACGGACCGAAGGATTTGTTTTTAAAAGTAAGTTTAGCAACTTAGCTGATGAAATTTATGCTGCAATAAGATGTTAAATAAAAAAATGCAACTACAAGTTACGAGAATAAAGTCATAATATTACAACATTAAAGTCGTATAAAAATGAAGTCATAATATTATGAGAATAAATTCATAACATTATGAGATTAAATTCATAATATTTTAGCCTTTAATAAACTYAAGCTGTATTGTAATTAACGGATGCATCGACAGATTTAGTCGTCACGTAGTTAATTTGGATGAAATCATATTAATCTAACACTGACCCAAGTCATCATGGACCACTTTATAAACACAGACATGTCTGTACACAGCTGGTGTGAGGGGAAAAAAGGAGGAAATGAACGGAAAATGGACACATCATGATTTTGACTTTTCTCTCGTAATATTACAATTTTAATCTCATAATATTATGACTTAAATTTCATAATATTCTGACTTTATTCTCATAAAAAAAAA